AATTGATTGATATAATTAAGTTAATTGATTTTGTATTATAAAATTTTTTTTATACATATCTATAAATAAATACCTTATGTATTCAATAAAATTAAGAAAAAATAGTTTCTTTTCTTCATATATTTTTATATTTTTTCTTCTCTTTATTTTTTTTTTATCGGCGACCGAGAATGATTAACAATATAATTATTGATTATAAAATATGAACGCTACGTGTTTGGTTAAATGCCCGTGTGAGAATGGAATGATGAATTACCAGCGGTGCTCCCGTCACGCTGCAGGTGGCATAGCATATGATTTTAACGATGAGCGTGGACGAGGGACACCGCCACCACCACCCACGCTTTTTGCCCTTTGCCTTTTTCATACATAAAGCATTTTCGTTTCATTTTCATCCCCTTGTTCCTAGGTAGAAAGTTTTGTAGAATATGTCACGCAAGATTGGTTTGACTCTTATTAAATGTCAAAACCTGACACTAACCAATCACATAAGTCCCTGTGCTTTCATTGCTAAACTTTGGATGTCTTCTCATATTAAGAAATTTTCTTTGAATTGAATCAATCAAACTTTTGCAATTTGAAGATAGATATAGTATTACCAAGTACATCCACTTAAATGATTTTCATATTACATTAAAAAAAAAAAACCCCCCATATATTAGTTTGAGGCTGGAAAGCTGGAAGCTGGAAGCCATTAATAATTAGAAAAAAAAATCAAAATAAGAAGTAGATGAATGTCAACCTTCCATAATTTTTCCTAAAGCCAGGTATTGACCCATAAGAGTATGGATCAGTTTATATTTTTATAAATTAAAAAAATCTAAATTTAAAATGAGTGATTTAATTTATATTAAATTTACACCATTGCAAATTTTTTCCAACTCAATACATAACAATTAAAAATTCTGAAATTTTCAACAAGAAAGATGGGGTCCCACACGCATATAACAGAAGAGAACTGAGTCTATTTAAAATTAAAAAACATTTAAATAAAGTTATCCAACAGCCTGGGAACCTGCCTTTCCTCTGCTCCTTCCCTCTTCCCGGACGCGGGAAATCCCGACAAGAATTGGCATCTCTCCTCCAACTTTGAATCTTCCACTTAGACCTTTTCCTTTGCCTTATAAATCCTTCAAACACATTCTTTTCTTCCCATCCAAACTCGATACAGTCTTTCCTTTTTCATCCTGCAAAACTTCCAGACATTTCCTTTCTCCCTTGAATTCTAACACAAACCCCACCTCTGTCTTCCTTGCTTCTTTTGCCGTATTTTTTCAATGGGCAATTACGTTTCCTGCACCCTATCTACGCCACTCGGGAAGTCATCAAAGTCGATTAAAGTGGTTCTCCCTGATGGAGAAATTCAGCAGCTTTCTGCACCCACCAAGGCCGCAGAGCTCATGCTCGAGACACCCAATTTTTTCCTAGTTAATTCTCGGTCTCTTAAAATTGGCCACCGGTTTTCGCCTCTTAGCGCCGACGAGGACCTTGAGTTTGACAATGTCTACGTCATGTTTCCCATGAAGAGGGTGAACTCCACTGTCACTGCAGCCGACATGGGTGCTCTGTTTCTCGCCGCAAACTCTGCTTCGAAAAGAGGGCTTGGTGGGAAAGTAAGGATCTTGCCGGAATCTGGGGATGTTTGCCATGACAAAAATGAATCGGTTGAGGTGAACGCGGTCCCAAAGCTGAACTTAGATGACATTGAGGACTTCTCTGCACCGGAGTTTATGCATAGGTTATCCTTGTCAAGGTCGAAGAAGCCATTGCTGGACACCATAGCAGAGGAGCCAATTTATTCAAGATGATCTCTTGCAGAATAATCAGATTTTTTATTCAATTATTTTTGACATCTGTTATGGAGTATCAAAGATTGGAATTGCAGGTGTTTGAAGAATGTTTTAAAATATGAAGCAGATTAGAGTAGAAAAGAGAGAGAAGATCATCAAACATAGATGTAATGTTTTTTCTTGGTACCTTCTTTTTGGTCTTGTACTTTATGTCTGTAAAGAGTCGTGTGCTGGCGAGGTGGGTGCCCATTGCTTTCTTATTATTTGTACGTAACGTACCTATGCTTTTTCTTCTTTCAAAAAATTTTATAAATAGGATTTTCTTTTTTGCAATTTTAGTTTAATGACTTTTTGTTTGATCAATGTATTAAAGATTAGTATAATAAGTCTTGAGATTTCCTTAAGAAAAACAAGTATTTGTTTGAGTATAATTACTGAGTCATTACAAGGTAACCAGAAGTTATTATACATCATTCACTAATGTAGGAGTTTAAGGAAGAAAATAATTTATGATTTGTAGGGGAAATAATTTCCAGGAGAAATGCCTTCCTTCGAAA